CAAGCTGAAGGGTTCGGGAGCCACCTCCTCACAGTGTGGTGCAGGGATAGATGCTTAGTACTGCCTGTACTACCTGGATTTCCATGCAGGGAGTGGGGGCTCCCATGCTTCCTCCACGTGGCTGCAGCAGCTTGGGAAAGGCACTCCGAGCTTGCCCACCTAACTGTAAGAAATAAGCTGTCAGATGAACAGGGACACACGTTAAAACCCAGTACTGCTGCTTGTTAGCTGTGTGACTGAAATTTATTTAACCTCCCTGAGCACTTGTTCCTTCTTTTCTTAATTGGTACCAGGGTTCAAACTCAGGACCTTGCGCTTGTGAGGCAGGCAGCAGAACCACTGAGCTAAGTCCCTGGCCCTATTTTCTTATCTTTAAAGTGGAAGTAATAATAATAATAATAATACTTATATTAACAGCAGAAGTAAAGATGTAACTAGAAAGCTCTCTCGTGGTGCCAGAAGCAGTGTTTCTGTATGAAGTGAAACTCATGGAGTGCCCCTCATTCATCCAACTAAACAAATGTTTCCTGCCCTTTCATTCTGAAGGGACTCAACAGTTAAGGAGAACTGGTCCCTTCTTTGTAGCACCCTGAGAAGACAGGGCCTGACTGGGGATCGGGTGTCCTCAGCACCGAAGAAGGTTCTGAGAGGCCAGCCAGTTCACCTAGGAATGGTTTTCCTAAAGCCCTCTGCACTGTTGAAGGGAGATCTCCTGGGAGCTTCTTTTCCAAGAGGTTCACACAGGTCTGAGCTAGGAGCGCCTTGTACGTCTGTTCCTCCTTCGGCTGGTGCAGGCCCCACAAACTCTGACTACATTGCTAGACCAAGGAAGAGCTTCGTGGGCCCCCATGCTAATCCCAGCCACTGAGCTGAAAGGAGGCATTGAGAATAGAGGCTGTAGAATTCGCGAATCCTCACCTGAGACAGCGAGCGAGTTAGTTCCTGCCTGTTGGAATGATCTTACACAGAGGAGACAAATGTAGTACATTAAGTAAGCTGCGGGCCTAGGTTGGTTGATAGCAAGCGTCCAGCCAGTTTGTTCTCCCTGAGAATCCATAATATCATCAAAGTAGCCTTCAAAATAGTTTGTCCCTCATAACATATTTTTGCTGCAAAAAAGAATAGATTCATTTCAGAAGCCCCAGGTATGTTAGAAATTCACCAGTAGTCACTCAGCAAGTCCTGAACTGAGGGCCTCCTTTGTGCCAAACACTATGCTGGGCACTAGGGCTGCAGTGACAAGACAGACATGTCCCCTGTCCTTGTGGGGTTTAGACAAAAAAGGGGGCAGATAGTAACTAGGTTACTCCTCAGCTAACTTCAAGCATGGTTAGTGGACCAGTTGCGAGCAGATGGAGTAAGGTAATAGAACATGGCCTATGCTGGGGAAGGGTGTCCTTGAGGTAAGGTGGCCGTAGAAGTCTTCTCTGAGTAGATGTTTATGAGAGGGTCCAACGGATGAGGATAAGTGCAGAATTGGCTGAATAGCATCCCAGGCCGAGGAAACAGCAATAGCAGCACCCTTGAATGGAGAAGCCCCTGACCGGAGGCACAGGAAATTCACTGCCTGGGACCCAGAGCAAGGAGAGCTCATGGTGAAAGAGATGAAAGAGGTCAAGAGCAGCCGATCCACGCAAGCTCCCCCGGCCGTGGTGAGGGCTCAGCATCCATCCCCACTGCAGGAGCGTGGCAGGACCTAGGCTGCGCTTTTCATCCACAACACTGGCTGCGATGTAGGACAGGGATTGAAGAACGAGAGCAAAACCTTTTAGGGAGCTGCAGCAGTTCACGTGAGAGGCAGTGGTGCTCTGACCTCGGTCGAAGAGGGGAACGTGACAGGCTGGGGGCCAAGCGGGAAGGAGAGGAGGACAGATGAGGGAAAGAGAGGAATCGGAGTCATTCACCATTTAGGGCTTTGAGCTGTTTGGTCGATGCCGGTGCTGTTGACTGAAATGGGGAGAATGGGCTTGGAAAGGGAACTCAAGACTGACTAGTGTGACTTGTACTCAATTTAAATGTTAGTACAGCCTCTTTGCGGCAGGGACTTCAGCAGAAGTGAGAACTTCCCCAGTTTTTAGGAGTTGGAAGGAATTTCTTCAGCTTCCAGGCAGGGTAACACCTTAAGTCCAGACAGATGTGACCCTTGGCTGTGAACAACCTCAGTGGGGGAATCCCACACTATGTCTGCCCCGCTCACCCCACAGGCACGTCCCCTGGCCCACCTGAATCCCATTGCTGTGATTCATGCCTGTCCTGTGTCTCTCCTCCTCAACTAAGATGTTCACTGAACACCAAAAGAAGCCCCAACCCTGCTGTGTCATCTGACACATGGTCTCTGCGGCTTAAGCTGGTCACTGACAGAAGCAGAGGCCAGAATTTGAGAAGGAGAGAGAGGCACGGCCTATCACCACTCCTAACACTCCAAGCCCTCTGATGACCTCCTTGGGATCTGTCATCCTGTTTTATCCAGCCCTTTCTTGAACCCTTCTGTTTCTAGCCTATACTGCCTCCTGAGTCACCGATTTTATTTATGGATTTCCCCTGATTTTCTGACTTACTGGCTGGAGATAAGGTTCTATTACGTACTACTCTCAAACTACCACACTGGGGTGGTTATTACTCTTAGTAGTAATGGTTGCTATTTTTTAAACACTTAAAAGAGGTTACACATCCTGCTAAGGGATATCTATGCCTTATCTCAGCTTAAGAACACCATGAAGTGGATATTACTGTTCCATTTTATAGGAGACTTGGAGAACTTTAGCAAGCTGCCCATGGTCTCACAGTTGGAGAGGGGTAGAGGAGAGATTTCAGTCTCCATTCAGAGGAAGGAAAGCCAAAGTGCCGTGGCTTTCCCGGATGCACAGTCATGCTGCCCGTGGTGCCCAGCCAGGGCTTTCTGTGACCAGGATGGGTCTGGGAAGGGATGAGGGTGGAGTCTTTGTTTCTGTAATCAGTCAGACAGTGGGGACCAGGGTGTGCTAGTATGTAACTGTGTTACATTCACTTCAGAAGCGATGAATCAGGTCTGATTCGGCGGGATTTGCAGTGTGGATGACGTGGACGACGAAGGCTCTGTAGATGTCCGGCCAGAACTGTGTAGGAGAGCAGAGAGGCTACCCCAAGTTATACTGTAAAGATATTCCTGCATTACAAAGAAGAGCTGAAGGCCTCAGTCTACCCTACAAAGGACTCGGGAGTGGAGTGTGGACAGGGAACGCCTGGCGGTGCAGACCAGGGCTGCCACTGGGTCTCCTCATGCCCATTGCTGCAGAAGGTTCAGCTGCACACCCTTCCGTCACTCCCCAGGAGAGGCCACAACATCTTGGCTGGGGTCAGGCCCCGGGAGGTCCTCCAGTTAAGCAAAAATTGGAGAGAGGCCTGGGTCTGCTTCTGTTTTTAAAGCAACTAGTAGAATTCTTTTGAAGTATGTGTTTGCAATACATCATACATTCATTCATACTGGGGAATTGATACATTCACGTCACATCTTGATCCTTTTTGCTTTCCCTCTCCCTTCCTTCTCTTGGCTATTAATATTTTTTAAAAAGAAGAAAGACAAAATGGGATTACTTTAGTCAGTTTCTATTTTCAAGTATTTACATTAACAAAATAATACTTCTTTTTCCTCATTGAGTTTAACAAAATAATACTTTTCAACGCACAAAGTGACACATTTGAAATCGCTGAAATCACTACAGGGCTTGGAAACAATCACGGTCCCAAGTGCACTAAAGTTAATGTGGTCCCCCAGTGTGCACCATGATGGCAAAAGCTTGTTTGGAAACAGTGTCAGCTGTCTTTGAGGCCTCTCCTGAACTAGCAGAATGTGTGACAGGAGTTGAGCAGTCCTCCTGGCTCCCCTGCCATACAGAAAGAGACAAATTCTGCTGTTTCTGGGCGAGATTCCCATAGGCCCATGTGTCCCTCTCTTTCTGTCCCTTTCAGAACATAAGTTTTTTTTTTTTCATTAAGTTTATTGGTACATTTTAGGCAGACAATACAGTTACAGTTATAGTCATCATTGGGAACTTGTACCCTTACATGACGTATCTTGGTTATTTTTTCCCGATTCCCCTGCTCTCCCTTCACCCCCTTCACCCCTCCCTATTTACAGAGACTTTGTTTCCATTTTTTCCTTTTCTCACATTTTTTCTTTTCCCTTCTTTCCTTTCCCCGACCTCTCCCATTCCTTCTGCCCCTTTAGACCTTTTCTTCCTATTTCACATTATCAATTATACATTTCGATCCTTATTTAAGTGTTTTAAATCAACATCAGCTGACTGAGAGTAAAAAAATTCTTCCTTGTCTTAAAAGCAAAGGAGAAGGACTCAAACATTATGGGTGGGCCTTAAGCCCTGAGCTTTGACATGTGTACAGTAATATTCCCTTATCAACTGTTCTGGTTGCCCATGGCAAAGAGAGGACTCCAGAAATAAACAACTTATAAGTTTTAAATAACTTTTATTGTAGTATGTTAGAATTGTCCTATTTTATTATTGGTTGTTGTTAATGTCTTATTGTGACTAATATAAAATTAAACATTTTCATGGGTGCATGTAGGAAAAAATAGAGCATGTATTTTCCCCTGAGGTCTTATAACGTATCTGTCATGGATAAGCGGGGACTGTGCATTGTTTGATTGCCCTCATAACTACCCTGAGATGGTGAAAGCATTATCCATTCTATTTGTGTATCAGTTAAATTATTTGTGCAAGAGCACACGGCAGTCCACGATTAGAACCTTGAGTCTTGGACTGTGAAGCCTCATCTCTCTCCAGCCTTCAAGTACGGCCCTGCCAAGAAGCCACACGAAGCCCAGGAGGAGGCCACTGAGACTGGAGGGGGCCTGGGCAGCCACTCTCCTCCATGCCCATGTGCTACAGGGCACCCTTGGGCCTCGCTAGATCTCCGCTGTTGGCTTTTCTTCCTGTTCCTTCTCCCAGCTAGCTTGTCCCTACTCGGCTTCTTGCTTATGATACTTATTTTTCCATCCACAGCAAAACAGTTCACATCAAGGTAATTGATGATGAGGAGTATAAGAAAAACAAGAATTACTTCATTGAGATGATGGGCCCCCGCATGGTGGATATGAGTTTTCAGAAAGGTGTAGTACCCTGTCCTCCACACTAACATTAACATTCTTTTTTCCTCTTCTGTTTCCTTCTTTCTCCAATCTGCTTCTCTCTACTCCTTTTGTCTTCTACCTCTCTGATCCACTTTTTCTGTTCTCTTTTCCTCTTGCTTTCTTTTATTTCTCCTTCTCCTTTCTCCAATCTCTGCTCCCAGCTCTGTCCTAACACCTGCCAACCTGTCACATGGTATCCATGAGGGATGCTCAAGAACCAATGGCAGTGTTTTGGGGAGTGAAGAGTTAGAGAGAGAGAGAGAGAGAGAGAGAGAGAGAGGCTACAACCTAGAGTATGGAACATGAAACTCTCAGCTTTGTACACAGAAGAGAAAAAGCCAGCTAACATAGAACCAGACAGAAGGCAGCACTAGAGAATAGATCAAGTGCAGATTTCCATGGGGCAGTTATTCCCAGGGATAAACTTACAGTCCCATGAAGTTGAAAATCAATGTATTTGAATCATGGTTCATCCCTCTCTCAAAATCAGGCCTCAGGGGCCATCTTATACACATCCCTACTTTATCAAGGCTTATTTCTGTCCCAGGCCTTGACAACTGAAAATACAGGTTTGAGCTCTAGGTCCCAGTCAAAGACCTGCCTGTCTTACTCTACTGTCCTTATAAAGAGCACCTTCACAGGGTGTGGGGGCAGAATTAGGATAGTAGGAGAGAAGACTCTGACCTCGAGGCCAGCTTTCCAGCAAGTCCATAGGACTTCTCAGAGTGGACAGAGGTGGTGCCTTCAATGTAAGTGGCCTTGTTCACCCCACAGAGAGACCATCCTGTTTAGGGTGCTGCTAGTTTGGAGGCACATTCCCTTGGCTGAGCCATCAGTCATGTCCCTCTAGTCCAGGGCCATGCATGGGTTTGGAGAAACCTGTTCCCATTCCACTGCAGAGTCCCTGTGTCATATATTGTAGACATCTCCAGTGTCCCATATCTAGAGCCTCAGAAATCAGTGAGGGAGGAAGGGAGGCAGAATTCTGTTTACTAAGCAGGGTATAAAACGTGTCCAAGAAGCATTCAAAAGGTGGCCAAAAAAAGTACTTGTAAAATACACACACACACACACACACATACACACACACACACACACACACACACACCACAAATGCACAAGAACTGTGCCAAACAAACCAGTTCAGGTCAGTTTACTACTTTATTGATGGCAAAGCAGGACTCGTCTCCAGAATGATGCAGCAAAAATCAAAGCATCTGAGGAAGCCATCTGTTCATGCACTTGGTTCTTTGAGAGTTTTTCACACACACACACACACACACACACACACACCAGAAAACAACCCCAGCTCACTCCCTCCTAGGACCTGCCGGCCACCACTGCATGATGGACCAGGAGGAGTCACCACACAGCATCCCCTCCATGTGGCTGTAGCCTGAGCCAACAGCCAGCCAGGCCTTGGAGAGGAGTGACTTTCAAAAAAACTACCTCCTTGGGTGATCTGTTTGGAAAAAACAGTGTTCTGTTAAGATGAGCAGCGACCTCCATCACGGTGCCCCAAGCCCAGGGGAACCAGCATTTAGGAAGCCAGCAGGGGACAGATGATTAATACTTACTGCCACCACTGAAGCCCCCTACGAGACAAAGCATGAGAAAAATAATGGAATTCTGCCTCTCTTCTTCTTTCCTCCTCTCTCTCTTTATCTCTCCAGATTTCCTTCCTCATAAATGATTTCCATTTAATTTTCTTTATGAGGTTTGTGTGAGAAGTGGGTACAGACACAAAGAAGGCACTCAAGCCCTGTGTTCCACTGATACATTTCCTGTTCAGAAGGGCTCTGGGTCATTCCCAGTGAGTAGACGGTTTACCTGTTGCTCAAAGAAATGCTACTGTTACCATGTGACACCCAGTGGAGTGTGCTGCCTGACTTACTTCTTACTGACCAACAGCAGGATCTAAAATAACTCCTCCCTACATCACCCCAATCTTCCTTCCCAAGTCCTTCCTGTCCTCCTGCCTCCCTTCCTTTGCCCACCTGTCCTTACTTCCTGGCTCCCTTTCCCCCTCACCTATAAGAACACCGATGGCCAAGGAGACCAGAAAAGCGAAGACTATTTTTCATACAGAACAACACAATCCACCATAGTCCTGTCAAAGGCCCCCATTGTGGGATGGGGCTGCATGTGCCACGTGTGGTGAGGAATGATTTCAAAGGTTGTGCTCCAGGGTACCAACCAACCTGCCTACCCAGTCGACACACTCTCTCTCTTGTTGTCCCTACAGGAAAACCATAAGGGTTAAAATAGTAGATGAGGAGGAATACGAAAGGCAAGAGAATTTCTTCATTGTCCTTGGTGAACCGAAATGGATGGAACGTGGAATATCAGGTGTGAGATTCTTTAAAAACAAAACAACAAGCCAAAGAAAAGAGAAAGAAAGAAAAAAATTATAAACTGGAAAATAATTTTTTTAAAAGGCAACTCTATTATTTCTCTCCCCCGCTTTTCTTCTCCTTCTCCTCCTTTCTCCTTTTGACCAACCAACTTTTTTATTCTTCCCCCCTGTATTCTCGCTCTCACCCTGTTTCGGTATCATCTCTGCCTTTTTAGTCATAGTTTATTTCCAAATTCCTCCTTTTCCTGCACTGTAACCTTGATTCCTTGTTACCCCAATGGTTACTTCTGTGTTGCACTACAATTGTCCAATTACTACTCTCCTCTGCACTTTCCCCTACCCTGTATGCCCCCTGCAGCAGTTTATAAATGTGAAAACTCCCTAGTGGTTGGGGAGGAGAAGAAAAAGAAAGGAATGTGATGAGTTGCATGCCTGTGCCCCTTCTCTGCCTTTGTTCCCTGCAACTCCTCATTCTCTAGCTGGGATTAAATGTGGAAGGATTGGGGATGGAGGGGGGACCCATGTTGCTACAATGCTTTGACGGTTTTCCACTGCATTCCTCAACCTCTCTTGAATGCTTGGAAAGCTATTCACTTGCAGAGTGACCCATAGGCTCCTCTGCCCTTCGTGGAGGTAAGTGTATCATCCAGCTACTTCCCAGTTGAAGAGACCACGCATGAGGAGGAATGTCAGCCAGTTGTCAGAGGCCACAGCTTCTGAGAGCTCTCCAAGAGAGGGCAGTCTCCTGAAGGGAGTCCTGCAACCTGGAGCCCTGAGCTGCTCATCTTCCCCTTAGCATCTCATCGACCCCATCCTGCCCTTCTTCATGGTCCAAGGCAAAGTACCTTATTCAGGTTACTTTGAGATAATGCAACCTCCACAGTGAGAGTCTGCAAGAGGAAAGAAGTAATGCCAACTACAGGAATTCCTCTGGATGGTGGGCACTGGGAGAAAAAAGAAAGAAAGACTGATGCTGGACAGGCCCAGAGTATTGCCTCGTGAGCTTTCCAGTGGAAATGCCTCTGCAAGGTGTAGTCGGTGCTGGTCACTGAGAGACAGCTATCGGAGGCAGCTGACTGATGGTTCATGGCACTTGCCTTTGCTCAGCATCTCCAAGTGAAGATACTGCTCGGAGCCCAAGACGCCCCTCCTTCCAGACTAGAGAAGTGGCCTCCTCTCCTCCTTCCTTAGGGCATGCATCTCAACATAGCTATCAGTGTTCATCCCTAAGGTACTGATTATTTTGCAACCAGGGTATAAGTGAGGAAGGATTTCTTCTCCTGAAGAGAATTATTAGAAACCACTAATTTGAAAGTGTTGGAAAAACAGATACGGCAATGGGAGAGACTGCTCTTGGGATATATGAAAAGGAGGACCTTCATGCTCTTTGTCAGGAGAGAGACACTGCTGAGAGCCTCATGGAGAACAAAGTGGTGAAATCTACCTGTTTATCTACAAGAGTGATAGTTCTACAACTGCTTTGCACTCACATGGCAGGAAGCAGCCTAAGGCTGGCAGATCTAACAGGTCCCTCAATGACACTTCAAGGCTCCTCTGCAGGTCTTCTTTGATTTGTCTGATTGGCCAGTTTTCATCATCTGCTGGAGACTACCTTCAGAGCGGAGCCATTCTCTTCCCACACTGGTTTGAGTACATCTGCTGTTTGAAGGGCAGAAACTCTATTTTCCATTGCTCCTCTTCTTCTTGGCTACTTAATCAGATGTTGCCATCAGCCTGATGACTAAAGAATCTCAGAAGAGAGTATTTCTTGTCCCATTTCTTCTCAAATTGTATTCCGGCCAATCTTCCAGTTCCTGCCACCACGAATATTCTCAGAATTTGTCTTAGCACCTGCCCCACCTTAGCTACCTGTCCCACCTTGCTTGTGCATTTACTCTGTATCTTCATGAATGGTTGGCAAGAGGAGACCACTGGAAGCTAGCATTATCAATTCCATGATCCCCACTACTTAGGTGCAGATGAAAGTGCTGCAAAGATGGGAGAAATCAATTAGAAGTCCATACATGCTTTTATTCTACTAGTGAAAGGGGTCTTTTCTGCATCTCCTAAACCCCTCCCAAAGCATCAGGACAGAGAGCAACCTCACATAAGCCTTGTGCTCTTCAAGAGACCTGGTCAATTTTGAATACCCCTTTTGAGGAGACCTTCCGTTATTTGAGATGAATTATTTGTCCAAGCAGATGTTAGCAAATCCCTGGTGAGCCTAGTCCTGTGGGAGAAAGTAGATGAGAACACAAGGATTTCAGCATGCTTTCTGTATAATATAATCCCATATCTTCTGCAAGAATCAAGATGGAAACCACCAATAAGAAATCTGTTAATTTTCTTCCTGCTCTGTGGTCTAGAGGGTTAATTTTTAGTTTCTGCAATTCTTCCCAGGAATTGACATCAGACCATAAGGTAAAAGGTCATAAAACCTGATTGTCTAGACTCAGAATCAAATGAAAACACATCCTGATTTGCAGAATTCCCTGCTGTTCTCAGAGTGAGAGACAGTACTGTGGAAATTGTTTTTCATTATCACTGCTATATGGGAGAGTCTTAAGCATTCAGAACAAAACAGTCTCTGCATGGTCAAAATGACAATTGTATTTTTTAAAAAGACTGGATTTGGAATAGGAAACTCTATTCTTGGCAAACAAAACAGACTTCAGAGGTGATATGACAGCTCTGGACAATCTGAGGTAGGGAAAAAGGAGAATAATGAATGGAAAATATAGTTGTCCCAGAGTGGAGTAAGTCCAGGAGCCTTAAAGTAGATTTCTGAGAGCAGTGATGTTGGGCTGTTAGGTCTGGCCCTGGATGCTGGAAATCTTTAGTTGGGAAAGGGAAATTCTATTACTAAAATAATGTATTTTATTCTCTGTCCACATCCAGGAGCTCATCCTTACAAGTTCTAGGTACTTTCTTATTATTCATAGTTATATTCTTTCCTGCTTGCCCCTGGAGTATAGAAACAGGGATAAATGACTCTCATCTGACCCAGATCAATACAGGGGAAAGTTCCGCTCTGGCTTCCCTTAGCAGCAGCAGCAGCAGGAAAAAAAAAAAACAAACAAACAAACAAAAAACACCCTCGAGGTATTGTGGCACTCTGTTGGCCTTCCTGGATCTCACAGACCAGTATATAACTGTATAGCAGGAAAGAAACCTCAGGTTCATGGAGATGGTGACCAGAGAATGATGCAATTCTAGCTGACAGCAGGCCTTCTCACTGTTCTGGGCATAAGCCAAGTGAAAACCAGGGCATCTGGACATTTTTGGAACAGCTGACCTCGTTTGGCCATAGTGCACTAATCTGTTGGGATCTCCAGTCTCAACTGGTCCTGGGGGCCAAGAAAGAACTTGCCATGCAGACCCATAGGAGAAGGCTGAATGAGCTCTCTTGCCACTGATGCACTATTTGCCTATCTCTCTGTCTGTCTGCCTGTCTGTCTATCTATCTATCTGTCTATCATCTATCTCAATGTAGCGAAGAGATACACTGACCCATCTCCTCCTTGGAATTCTAGATAGAAGATACCAGAAGAAATCAAGTGCTGACCACCTGCTTATGTACCACAAAGATTCTGGATCCACAAGCATCTTCAGTGGCCATGAATATGAGATGATGGAACCTAGGCCTAAATTGTATTCCTAGAGATTCCAAGAAAAAAAATCACAGACATCCCATACTCATATACCCATACTCTCTCCTTGTCAATCCCCACCTTTTACCAATGATAGCAGGACTATATAGCAAAGTATTTCCAGAATGCTAAGGAGTGAGAGGCTATACTAATGCAATGAATATGAAAATATGGTATGTCAAAAGAACTCTTTTTAACCCTGAAGTCTAAAAGAGTTTAGCATAAATACAAATTCAGGGGCCATGGATAACCTGTGTTGAGTTCATCTTTGACTCAATTTTCCAGTCCATCCATTTAGAGATCTTGCATCTGTCATCTCTCATCTCTGTATTGCTCTTGGTGTAACAGTCTTTCCATTCCATTGTATCTGAATTCTGATTATGCTTGCCCTTTCTGGAACAAAAAGACCACCACCCAGAGATGCAACATTATAAGGTCTACAGAAAGACAATTGCCAAAATAAATAGCAAAAAATACAAAACAAAACAAAAAAACCACCAACAACAAAAACAACCTTCATTCAGCACTCTGAAGTTGCAAGGGACTGGTGACAGGAAACAGTAGGAGTCCATGGTTTTGGACTCTGGGAAATATCTACAAAAATGACAGAGACCATTCAAGGCAAACACTCTGCAGATCCTCCCTTTTCTCTAAATCATTCCTTTAAGGGAAATCAAAGTTCTGACCAGAGTGGCAGTGAGGACACCATTTGTAGCCATGGAAACATGGGCACTGGGAAGCAGAGCACCATTTGATTGTGAAGTTAGGAATAGGAGTCATGAACTCCACTCCTGCACACTACTACCTGGTGCCCTGCACTCCCATTCAAACCCTATGGTCATGCTTTGCCACTGATAAGCCAATTACTCTAGTAGAGCTGCAACTTCCGTAGTCTTCTGACAAGTGGATTCTCACTCCTTACCAGAATGAATCATGAGAGACCAACTCAGTCTCTGTCCCACCCCCTTGGTTCCCCTATCCTCATTCCTCCACCCTTGCTTGTGTGGTTACAAGGAAGGTATGATAATAACTCTCCTAACTGCTCAGTGGCCTTGCCAGCTGCTTACACATCTTGTTGCTTCCACTACTATGCATGCTACAAATGCTGCTTTTTGCATGTTTTTCTGAATTCTCACCTACTAAGCTCCCTGCTGTCTTTCTGTGTCAGCAACCACAAATCCTGGAGACACTTTCAAGATGGGACCTTAATGTTCTTTCCTTTTCTCTTCCCCTTGTCTGGTATCCATTTGCAAACAGCGCTCCTGTTATCTCCAGGTAAGAGGTGTCTCCCCTCTTTTCCAGTTCTTGCCAGTTCTATTGTGTGGCTTAAGATCAATGTCCCTTAAATTACTTAATAATTACTGTAGGTTCAAGTTAACCTGACAAGTTCTCCCAAAGACTGGGAGACTTGTATCCCCCACATGAACTAATTGTCAGGAAATAGACAACTTGAATGTCATTTCTCTGACTGGGTATTTCTGAGATATATAGCTGATCCTTTCTAGGATCAGGGACCAAGAAGATAAATGAAACTTATCAAGAAACTGGTGGGTCATAGACTTAAGACCTGCATAAGACATAGAATTAAGAACTTCATTTTAATTCATCTGCATCTTATGCTTTGGGGAAAAGAGTGACAGCCAGATCTGGAATCTTTTAACAGGATAGTGATGAGATCTACAAGAATATACTGATCTCAGGAAATCCAGGGGTAAATAATAACAAGCACTGCTGTAAGAACATGAAAAGCAATTTTTAAAGAATCTGGAACTTTACTGCTTCTGGAGATCTTCTATCTCATCACAGATGAAACCTAAAGTGCTATAATTTTAGTTCATTTGCCACTGATTCTTAAAGGCACATATGCCATGAACAACAAGAAGGGAGGTGAAGGCAAGGTTCTGGCTGGAAATAGACATTTTAGAGAATTTGTTTTAGAGAGATTCTCATGCAGAATCTAGATTCTGTGTAGCATATACACCTACTTTGAGAGTATGTTTGCATTCATAGAAACCAATCACCAACAGTATCCAACTTCATGAGCAGATGGGAAAGCATTTCCCCATATCTGACAATACTATCACTCTTGATGCAGACAGAGCAGGGGCTACAGGACAGTTTCAGTATATTTTAAAAGAATATCTTACATTTCATCAGTTCTTTCAACATAGAAAAAAAACTTTAAGGTCATTGAACAGGAAAATCTCTTACAGAGTTCATTGGTATTCAGTCATCACACACACACACACACACACACACACACACACCACCACCACCACCACCACCACACCAAAAAAGGTTGTGATTCAATTTAAGCTTCTTTATCATTTTCACATAAAGTGAGGGTTGTGTTTTTCTAGATCTTTCAATCTGTAAATCTTTAATTTAGGAGAACTTGATTAGGTTTTAATTCTACTGGGAATCTCCAATCTTTATCTTAACTTTACTAGGAGGCTAGGAGGACATAACTAACAACACATGGTATTAAAAGACATAAAATAAATGCATTTCTGCTGAGCAACCCAACCAAGTTCAGGGGCTTTGGCATGAGAACCCCGGATGCATCATCCCACCTCTTCGTGAGGCTGCCTGCAGGCATTCACAACATAGCCCGTCAGGCCTGGCAAGCGCTTTGTTCTTCCAGTATTTATTCAGCCTTCCACTCTATCCATATTCTCTTTCTCTCTCTCTCTCCCCCTCCCCCTTTTCCTCCCTCCCTAGTCCTTGAACTGAGAGTTTGTTTAGTCAGTCATGTCAAGATCACCTGTCATTTTTTTCTCTTCTTGCAATTCTAAGGAGTCACATGATCAGAGTCACCATAGTTTTAAATTTGAGATATAATGTTCTTTCAAGAAATTAACTCAATCTGAATTTAAATCCACCAGTATGACAAAAATAGAAAAAGGCAGGAGTTCCTGCCAAACTAAGACATTAAATCAGAGTTTATGTAAAAGCATGTGAAATCGGTGAATTAGCATATATATACAGAGTGCCTCTGTGAGACTGTGGGAAACCCAAAGATTGGTTATTTGTCAAAGAGATTTTTGCAGGAAGCTAGATGGAAAACTGACTGTCACCACAGGGGTGGACAGGTCAGTAGGTAGATCAATATCCTGCCAGATGGATATAGTGCTAGATTGATAGCTAGTCAAAAGGTTAGACTGGTACATTTATATGTCACTGGAGAGCTCATTATATTGGATAAGGTTCTTGTGACACATGTAAAGTATGACAGAGGGGGAGCCAGGGAAGGAAGAGTGGAATGACACTGTCACTGCTAAGATGGGCATTGTTATGGTGCCAAAACCTGCATGTAGAGGAAAAGATTACCCCATTCTTTTAAGGAATCTCTGCATCTTTTTCTAAGGGCTTTTTCCCAGAGTGCCTTGCAGCCTGGTTTCTAGGTTTGCTGGCTTCATACATAGCCAGAACCGTAGATGCACTCAGATTTATATTAAGAACTGATTAATCGGGAGACCGGGATTTAGTTCAGTGGTTCCACCACCAGCCTCGGCAAACACAAGGACCTGAGCTCGATGCCTGGTACCAAAACAAACAAAAAGAACTAACTAATCAGAGAATCAGAGTCAATGAACTAAATGAAGTTAGGCTGCTAGAGGGTATCCGCTGACCTTGAGAAATAGTTGTTTCCAAAAGTGGCCACCAATGCTGAAGAGGAGTAGCACCACGGACAGCTCCCCACCCGTTTGGGATTGCCTCCTTCGCTTGGTGCCAGAAACACTGAGAAAAAAACAGTGAGCTCAGAGTCTGTACATTCTCATCCCATTTTCATTCAGCTCAACTGAGAAAATCATTGTATAATACAGAAGATTCGCTGTCTTGTAACTCACACCCTTGGATTACAGACTTTTCAGTGAATTCCTTTCTTTGCAACCTCAAGAGCTTGAGTCTCAGCCCTCCCCTCACTTCACTAATCTCCCTGGTAGGAAGGAAAGAAGACCTTCTTGGCCTCTGACCCATTTTGTCCTTGAGATGATCCAAGGACTAGAGGAATCCTCTGGGAGGTTTACTGTGTGGAATGAAAGCAATTAAGGAGTCGAATAAAAGAATTAATTGCATGGGAGAATGTGGACTTGGATGGGAAGATGTTTAAATGAGCTCTGAAAGAAACAGCCTGCCAAAAGCGATTTTCTAATCAAAGGGGAATAAAAAGATTCAATATCTATTTCACTCTAATCCAGAAAACATGTCTCACAGCAAAGTGGTCTTAAAATGGACTCACCAGCTGAAGCAGAAAAAGTATCTGTCTGTCTGTTCAACATGAGAAAGGGCCACTGGCATGATGCTGAAGGACAGAGATAATGCCTCAGAAGAAAGTAAAGGAAGAACTCTCTTTTATTTTGGTTTTTGAACAAGTATTTGTGCTGCAGAAGAAATGTACCTGAGTTTTACAGAAATCCTGAGATCTCTTGTTGGTACATCATGAAGTTTCTTGGGGAAATCTTCCAAGTTTCTCGCTGTGAGGATTATATTCACTTGTATGAAATATAGATATCCCTTTTCCTCCTTTATAGAGAAAATAGCACCAACAGTGTTGGAAACAAATGTTAATATGCAGCAGTAGACATTCCTTTTAGATAAATGTTCCTCCAAAAACTATTACATAAAATGGTTGGACAACCAATCGGATCCAACAGTTCAAAACAGTTAAAGTCAAGAGAGTTGGCTTTTCTTAATAGCTGCCCAATATCTCACTGAATGGTTTGTGAACTTCACTTGGTGCTGCAGTTTCTTGAGGGGGTCTTTGGGTTGGGTTTCCCATGCAGGTAAACAACAGAAAAAAAGAATGCTTGTCCAGGCCTACAAGGACCCTCTCCAGGTCTAAGTTTCATAAAGTATTCACTATGCCATATAAGCGGCACCAAATAACACACGGGATCTTCATTCCCAAGATGTTAGCTTTGTATCCATTGCCTGTGTCTGACAACCAGAGCTTTGTATTTCTAGGGAATGGAAATGGTACTAAAGCTAGTCTGACTTTCTTTTGTTGCAGAAGTTACAGACAGGAAGCTGACTGTGGAGGAAGAGGAGGCCAAGAGGATAGCAGAAATGGGAAAGCCAGTATTGGGTGAACACCCCAAACTAGAGGTCATCATTGAAGAATCCTATGAGTTCAAGGTCAGGCCTCTAGTGAGATCTAATTGAATAATAGACTAATTAGCATGATGGGGCCAGAAAACCTGAGGTTTTATTCAGGTTCATCACTGAATATGTGAAGTCAAAACTGAAGAAATCACCTACCCACCCCAGGTCTCAGTTTCCCCACTTGTAACATGTTACAAATAGTGCTGGCCATTTGTATGCTAGAGATATTATGAAGAAAAATAATATAGGGTACCCTAGATGTATCATCACAATTTTTAACTGCATTTTAAAGACAAATATACTAAAACTGACTACTGCAAAGCAAGGATTATTGACATCGTATCCTTATTCTCTGTTTTGTTACTCTCAATATCCAAGGTCATGTACTACAACCAAAGAAGTGAGATTGTCCCAGAGCATAGCATAAATTTCAGAACCCTTGGAATCCAGGGTACCATTCATTCCTTTGAAGCACCAGACTCTTCATTGGTTCTGAGCATTCTAACCCCATGATTCCAAGCTTTTCTTTCCCTGACAGACTACAGTGGACAAACTGATCAAGAAGACAAACCTGGCCATGGTTGTAGGGACCCATTCCTGGAGGGACCAGTTCATGGCGGCAATCACTGTGAGTGCAGGTAAGAAGAGTCTCAAGATGGCTTTGCCAGGAAAAGCAGGCAGTCCCCAAGAGGGAAGAGCAGGGGCCTATCAGGGCTCCATTCCTGGGAGAGCTCCACGTCCAGTCTTCCTGGCTCTAGTACTAGATGTTCAACTATTTCACTAGGTCACATTGGAAGAGACTTGTGGATTAACAAAAGAATTGTGGTTTACTTGTGCATATGTCTGGCTCCAAGTCCTGGTTCTGCTGTGTGTACTGGAGCAATTATCTTCTCTATTCCCCATGCCCTTATCCAGAATGGGAGCTACAGCTAGCTTTCTTAGAAAAGTAGAAAGGTACAGTCAGGTGTAAAATATGTATGCAATAAATTCTGGTCTCCATCATTCCTGTCTCTCATTAACTTGGTCTCTTTCTTCTTTAAAATGGGGGGATTCTGATTTAGAGTTTTGGGGGCCAGGAATTTGCAAAATGATTTGCACTGACTCTGACAAATCTCTGCCCTGGATAATTCCAAATCTCTCTTATGACACAAGTCTCTCCACAGTGACCCACAGCACAGGGTAGGTCCCAGAGGCCTGCAGATATATTGGAATGGGACTGAATGGTCCCTCTTATATTACCCATCAGCAACACCGAGGCCCCCTTGTACTGCTGAGCACTACTGGCCTTGTGTTTCTTTCATAAGGTTTTGTTGTCATAGCAACCCACAGGGTCACATCCCCAATGCCCCAGAGCCAGAGCAAAGTACAGTCAGGAGGAAAGGTTCGCTGCTGCCACTGCTGCCACCCCACTTTCACATCAGTCCTTCTAGACCCCTGCGATGACCTGAAACTGTCTCTCAAGGGACAGTAAACGGAATGTAGGCCACATAACCTAACAAACTCCTTTTAGAAATAAGGGAACTAAGGCTGAGAAACAATAGAAAAATGTACCCCAGTTACAAATTTTCTAAATATCGAAGTTGGAATTAGAACTCAGATTCCTGACTTCGGCCCTTTCGCAACCAGCTTCTTTATGGCAAAGCACCACAGAGGTTGCCCTTGACAGTGTACCAGGGAGCCTCTGCACAGCCTTTCTTCTGGGCCACTGAATGGGCACCTCTGCCAGTGTTGCCTGGCAGGGAGTCAGGTCCAAGCCCCACTGTGTCTTGTGGGAGATTTGGAGGATGGCGCTAACTCCTGCAGGGTCTGGGAGACAGCCATCCCTCTGGGGATGGATAATGACCAAAATCGGGATGGTATTGCAGCACCAGGTCATAAAATTCAAGAGGAGCCCTGTTGACACCCAATGAAAAAGAAGCACATAGGCAATTTGGGGGGTTTTGTTTTTCTTTGTTACCTAGGCAATAATATACAGCTTGCTCTGGCCTCCTTCCTTTCTCCTCCACTATCTGTCTTTTGTATGTTCTCTTGCCCATCGCTTAACCTCTGTCTCTCTACCTTGTTTTCCTGCCCTCTCTTTCTCATACTCACTTGGTGCCCTGCATTCAGACTGGCCAATAGTCAGATCGTTTCCCATTTCCCAGCTCTTTTTTTAGTACCCATGCCCTGTGCCTTATCGGTTGCCGAGAGTGAGCTGGGGGCCGTAATGTCTGCACATTGGCATAGACTTGACTTTCTTGTGCTTGAGGAGGATCTGATGTTGCTGTTCTTCCTCGGTCTTTTTATTTTATCTCCAGCAGGGGATGAGGATGAAGATGAATCAGGGGAGGAGAGGCTGCCATCCTGCTTTGACTATGTCATGCATTTCCTGACTGTCTTCTGGAAGGTGCTGTTTGCCTGTGTGCCCCCTACAGAGTACTGCCATGGCTGGGCCTGCTTCGTTGTCTCCATCCTCATCATTGGCATGCTCACCGCCATCATCGGAGACCTGGCCTCCCACTTCGGCTGCACCATTGGTCTCAAGGATTCCGTCACCGCTGTTGTTTTCGTAGCATTTGGCACCTCTGTGCCAGGTGAGAGTGGGAGGTGCTCTATCTTGTAAAAAGCATATTACCCGGTTAAAATGATCCCTTCACTCTTCCTCATCTTCTTCATCATCTCAGTTTGCACTGAAGAGAACCTCTGCTCTTACAGTGAACAAAAGTCAAAGAGATTACTGGTATTAATATTGCTATCCAACATTTCCTGGATGCATTTATGTGACAGACACTGTGTATGCTGAACAGCTTACATGTTTGATCCCTTCGATACTCACTCAAGTTCTATTAAATAGGGGAAGTCATTATCCCTACACGACAGATGAAAAACTCAGGTCCACAGAGGCTAAACTACCTTCCCAGTCAGTGGTCCAATTTCTCAATCTATGCATTATGTTAATTGATGGGACAAAATATATGAATACTGTTTTTCCACTTATTACTGGCAATCTCTGAGAGGCTAAAGATTAGCCTGCTTGTAGATGTCACTGCAGAAATACTACAAGCATTCTTGGCCTCCTCCACTTGTGTGGATACCCGTGAGAACAATGTGTCTCCTAGCAGGATGGGCAGAGAAAGCTTAGTGAGCCTTGTCCTTTCCTATGATGCATTACCTACTTTTTATTTTCTCATAAGCACCCAGAGACAAAAGGTGTGGCCACTAATTAATTAATTTATGGCAAACATTTACTGAGCTCCACTTAGGTCTCATACAGTATTATGTTAGTTGCTAGGATTATTCTGAGAAGCAAGACAGACATGTTTCCTTCTGGACCCCAAGTTTATAATCTAGGAGAGCACACTTGGATGCTTTAATTAAACTCATCTTGATGATTCTGATTTCTTCATCTTGATGAAGAAAAACTTTAAAACAGGAAGATGGGGCAAGGCTGGGGTCAGGGATGACTTCTGAGAGAAGTTATATGAAAGCCAGGCCTGAATGACAAACTGGAGTTAGCAGGTACAGAGAGGTTCTCAACAGGTTCCTTGCTTAATTCACTTGTTGTCTCCAGTGCATCTAAGACCTGAACTCCCACCAGCTCCATCTGCCCTAGGGAGAAGCAAAAGGGCAACTTTCGTGGGAGGTGAGGGAGGAGTATGTTGGCTGGACCAAGGGAATCCCTTCCTGTAACAAGAACACATACCTCCTGGACAGTGACTGAATCTGTGTCCCACTCTAAGGAAACATTTTCCCAAAACCCTAGTGCAGGTGGGATTTTACGTACATTAGGGTTGCGAGAGGTTCAGCACACGTAGAAAGGAGTCAGATGATTAATTAGGTGGGTGATGTAGGGAAGGTTTGGTGGATGTGATGCCCGATGATCACTGTTCTCCGAACCATTAGAAGAAAGGAGCCCATATGGGGAAAGAATAAATGTGGAAAGAAATAACAGAGGATCAGAAGCAAAAATGCAACGTCATAAGCAAGGAAGGGTGGTTTTCTCAGGAGATCTGAGAAAATTGGCAGTGACGAGGTAAGTCAAGACAAGCTGGGAAAGGAGTTGGCTTGGAAAATATCCAAGTCCTACCAATTGGTTCAGAAAACAACTGACAGCATTTGGGGATTTAGGAAGGTTAAGCTATGGTCTGTGCATCTGTTGTCATAGCTTTGGCTGAAGCTCTCTGGATGTAGGTCAGTGGTTATAGAAGAAAATTTATATAAGGTTTTAGGATTAAGTCTTTTTCCAACTTCCTTTGTGACCTTGGATAGATTCCGTGGTCCTTATTTTCCTGACCTGTGAAATAAAAAGCTTGAGCTGGGTATCCCTGGTGGTAACCCTATTTCTATAATCTATACGAGGATCTAATGTCAAATATCCTTCAAGGTCCCATGATCCCAATACTGACTGCAGTGAGCTCACCCTACATGTCCCCATGCTGGTTCTCTAGCGTTTCCTCTGTCCTCAGACATCAACGCCCAGCCCTGAGTCCACAGGTACTGCTCAGTCACTGTCCGTGTTGTGAGGACATGTGCCACTCAACAGCTACGATTAGGCATCCACTCTAAGCCGCTTCCACGGATGTCGGAGTTCCCTGGGGAGAAACCATGAAATGGCAAACTCCCTTACTGAAACAATAGTCAAAACAAAACAATAAACCCACTCATTAAGTATCTGGACCAAAATGGCTCTTAGGGATCTTCCGGATTCCTGTAAATGAGAAACAAGAAGCCCCGACCGATAATGTGGGTGCCCAACATGGCACCGCTCATCAGTGGCAGAGTTGGTAGTGGCCTCTAGCTCTTATACTAAGCTGCCTTTGGGTCGTATGTGAAGATGCACCCTCCACACCTCGGCCTCCCGCCAGCTCCCATTTGTCTCTGTTTTTTCCAGATACATTTGCCAGCAAAGCTGCTGCCCTCCAGGATGTGTACGCAGACGCCTCCATTGGCAATGTTACAGGCAGCAACGCCGTCAATGTCTTCCTGGGTATTGGCCTGGCCTGGTCCGTGGCCGCCATCTACTGGGCCCTGCAGGGACAGGAGTTCCATGTGTCAGCGGGCACGCTAGCCTTCTCAGTCACGCTTTTCACCATCTTTGCATTTGTATGCATCAGTGTGCTCTTGTACCGGCGACGGCCACACCTAGGCGGGGAGCTTGGTGGCCCTCGTGGTTGCAAGATTGCCACAACGTGGCTCTTCGTGAGCCTGTGGCTCCTCTACATACTCTTTGCCACACTGGAGGCCTATTGCTACATCAAGGGGTTCTGAGCCGCAGAACAAAGTCTCCAGTGGGACAGGCCTCGGACTTTTCCTAGGAGAAGGGCATTTCCCCACCAGTGACCTTTCCAGGTTGAGCAGCCCTGGAGAGGGAACATCAGGGCTCAAACCCCAGGAACTTCACCTGACCCTGGCAGTGCACTGGAAAAAGTCCTAATCAGTCAGAATGGAGGAGACATCCACCTTCCAAAGTATTTCCTTAAATACAAATCAACAGCAGCAACAAATCCACCTCTACCCCATCCTCCTGCACATGTCCCAAACCCACAGCAAAGGTCAGACCCTTCTTCCTCCTATTTTGCCTTCCAGTTGTTCCTTTGCCTCTGTTTTCTTGGGGGCAGGGCTTCTACCATCTGTCCTATGTGATATGATTCTCTCATTCAGCTTGGCAAGGCGTGAAAATGAATCCTACCCATGCGGCTGGTTTGGGGTTCTCACTTTCATTGTAATCATTATCGTGATTGCTTTTGTTTTTCCACAAGATTTTCTTTCTGAAGTTAGGGACAAAGGAGCCATGAAGGAGCTCCAAGTCTGCACCTGCAGATGGAGGCATGGGTTTTCAGGGACACACTCTGTCACTCTTAAGAGGTCACAGCCATGGCATGGCTCAATAAGATCCTATCCCCTATCTCCTTTATTCTCTGAGCTTTTTGGAGAACAGATGACACTTGGGTGAAGTAAGCTCAACTTGGGGAGCAAGAGGAGCTTTATTTGCTTGCAATGAAATCAAGTCAAAACAAGCAGTTGTCCTCCTTGTCCACATCTTTCCATTGTACAGGTCTTGTTTCAGTGTTTCATGTGCATCATCCTGCAGAAAGCCCCACCAAATGGGTGCTTGTGGGACAAACGTTGATATAGTATATGATGGCAAAGAGGAGCTGGGCAAACAAAGGGGATACACATGCCTTCTCAAATGTCTTTGGCTTTGCTCGTGAGGCAGGAGAGAAGAGGTGTCCAATCAGTGAGATCTTTAAGGGAAAAAATTATACAGCTTTGCAAATGTCAGTGTTTCTGCAAAATGTCAGCTGTACCACCCCCTTGTTTCCTTATGCACTACACTAAGAGGGCTGACTATATTTCTTGAAATATTGCAAGCATTTAGAGATTTATTCAAGAATAAGGGGATTCTTCCACCTCTCCTGGTCCTTGAGCCAAACTTGAAAGAATTTTCACAAGATAGGAACTGGAACTCCTCATTTCTCCCATGTTCCTGCTTGTTTTTAAACCTCATGAAGCTCCTGATTTCCAGCTTGTGGGGTGTCGTCCCCCCTGCCCCCCCGGCAAGAAGAATCTTAGTCACTGTGATCCCATGGACTGTAGGTTTATAGACAAGGAGACTGACATGCCCTATGGACCTTTTCCCAGTGGATTTTGAAAGGATCTGGCTTTAAAACACACAAACACAAATAAACACACGTATGACATCACCACACAACTGCCCACAGAATTTTAGGCTTTCTGCATTGACATGAATACATTTTCTAAGGGGAAAAATAAAAAATAACCTGTTTAATTTTAAACACATTTTTTTAAGAAAAATGAACTAAAAAAGAAACAGTGTTCGTGTCAAGTTATGTTGGCAGTTGCCAGTGGAAATATTGGGTTGGTTTAAAAAAAAAAATAAAAGCTCTACTTATATCTCTCTACATACAGGTTGCTTTTCTCTGTGTTTCTTCAGTAAATGGTCCAAGATTCTAGCCTGGTCTCTTCTGAAGCAGATGTGACTGAAGAGAAGGTGCAATTTCCTTTCACACTCAGGCACCAGTGAACCAGACATGGTACTTTTTTAAACAAAAATATTTCAGGGAAATGCCACCTAACAAAACCTGGACTTTAAGAATCTCGAGTATATGAGTGGTAAGAGCTCAGATGATAAAGAGGAAGGAGCTTTTTGTTTTAGAAAGGAAGAATGGAATGGGATTCCAGCTAGGAAAACAGTGTTCACAATTATTTACAAGAAACATGTGTTCAACATCTACCATTCATTTAGCAACCATGTTTTGCACACCTTGTAGGTATTGAGCTGCATTCTGGTAACACAAACAAGAATAAGATATAGTTCTTGACCACCAGAAATTCCTGGTGTGTGTGTGTGGAGGGGTAAAACTTGTTTTAATCAGTGCTGTTTGAGATATAAGAGACAAACCAATTAAAGCAGTTGAAAAATGAGGGGGCGGTACTGTGATGGCCTGACAGGGAAATCCGGCACAGGGGTCTGAAAGCCCTCGGGAGCCAAGACCATCCCCGCCTCCCTGAAACCATGTTGTTTTTCCCATCCTTGCCTTTGTTTCCCAAGGGATTTCCTCTGTGGTATTTCATTTGTAGCCCGGCAGTCACCAGCCCTGATGCCCATCCATGAGCTCACAACTCCACTCCTCACACCTAACTGGAACTTCCTTTTTATTTTTTATTTTTTGTCTGAATGTATATTCTCAATTGAGAAAATACAGCCAATTCCCTATTCCCAGAGGGCCAGTTGCAGAAAACAAAAGTCTTTGTAGGAGGTGGTCTTGGTGGCTAGGTGCCTATGGATTGTTTGTTGTGCTTTAAGTATCTACTACTGAGTCAAAGAACTTGAGTAAGGAAAGGAGAGTGGGGGGTCACATTGTATGGATGGTGCTGCTTCCCAACACTAAATAATGGGGAGGAAGTTGTAAAAGAGCTTACAAACACCAAGCTACAAGCAGAAGTGCTCTGTCATCAGTGCTCTAGGAGTGGCCACGGTAATACAATGGAAAGCAAAGCAAACTGAGAAAGTCCTTACAAAGCAAGTAGCTCAAGTTGGGTCTTGAAGGGCAAATGAACAGTGATTTCCTTTGGTGAAAGGGCTTGATGTTGAAGGACAGCCATGGAAGGGATGGCATGCTCAAAGGCTCAGGGTGAAACTGGATATGGTGGGTCACAGAGTGACAGCAGTCGGCACTGCTGGAGTACAGAGTTCAAGAGGGAAAAGTAAGTGGATCTGCACTACGGTCCACTTGGATGTCTGAGAAGTTTTAGGCTACGCAATGGTTATTGGCTTATATTGAAGGTGTTTTTCTACTTTTTCTCTCTAGACTCTGGGTTTTTAGTTTCTGCCTGGGCTTAAACCTCTGGCCAAAAATTAGGTTGAGAAAGCAGCACCAGGAATAAGAAGTACTGCATCGGAAGTGTTTTTAACTAGAGAGCAACAGGATTGATGAGGAAAGCAAAACAACATAAAAGAGCAGGTAGGAAGAAGGCCTTGGCTCAAGGCTCTTCCTTTTTCTCCTGCCAGCAACCAAGTTGAAAATGAGAAAATGCCTTTTAGTTGATTAAATGATAGATGTCAAATCAAGAAATCCACTTGTGCCCAACTCTCCCCTTCTCAGACTCATTTCTAGACTATCCAGATGCCGGGCATTATCAAGAGAAAATCGGGATGAACCACAGAGAATGGGGAGGAGACTGAAAGCAGCAGCCTAGGAACCTGAAGATCTGAGTACGTTCTAGATGCCACCAACAACAACTACTTCTGTGGTCTTGAGCAGATCCTTCTGCTGGATCACAGTGATAGCCTTGGAAGCGAACTATGTCCCACTTTAACGTTGAGACTCTAGAATACATACTCAAATTGTGTGTATGTGTGTTCATGCGTATTTGCACATGGTCACACGATCAAACTGCCTGACAACCTTGACTGACCTACCATTGCAGATGTCCCTTTGCGGTGCTTTGGCCCTATGGCCTGTGTATTAGTCAGTATGAAAAGACATTGCCAGCCATTGCCTTTGTTTCCCAAGGGGCTTCCTCTGTTTAGTGTCACTTACAGCCCATATATATTTAATTTCAGCACCTGCTACTAACTGAGCCACAATATTCCTGTTCTTTTGTCTCACTTATTCTTAGGGCAATATTAGATGCTATAATAAAACAATCCCAATATTTCATTGGATTAGCAAGATAAAAGTTTATTTCTCACTTATGCAATAATTCAGTAAAAATGTTCTGACTCTCTTTTACTTGATTCAGAAACTCAGCTTCTTTCGATTTTGTAACTACCACTTCCTGGAGCAGCAGACAGGAAGAAAATTGGAGAAGGTGCAAGAATTTCTAACAGTCTTGACTTCAAAGTAATACTCACCCCTTTTGCTCATATTCTGTTAGTAAAACCTGGTCTCTAACCCACCCAAATGCAAAGAAATGAAAATATAGCTCTTACCTGGGCAGCCCCTCCCTCCCCAACGACCACTGTATACCAAAACTAAGAATGAATGTTTTAGAGATGCTTGTGCCGTGAGCCCTTTGTGGTTCAGAATTGATATTTTAATATCAGTGACCAAGAGCAAACTGACCTGTGTCTACATGGTTTTTCAAAACCTTTGATGTACAGGTGTTTGATAAGCACCACAAGAGGTAGATATTATCATTTTACCACTGAAGTTTTGAGAAGTTAGATGATTGCCCAGGAGTGAACAGAAAGTGTCAGGCACAACTGCAGGTCTTCTGATTCCAAATTCTGCTCAGAGTGCTTACCCCAGAGTATCGTGACCTCTTGTGACAAACGCCAAAACATGCAATGAGCGCAGGCTGGGATTTCAGGGCCTGGGTCTAGTCCACGAAAGACTCCCACAGAGAGGCCGCCAGGGTCTGGGAAGGGAAGGTAGAAGAATCCAGCTAGCAACTGTTTTCTCATTCTCCAACGGATCCCCTTGCCACTGGTTTGCCTCTATCTTCACTGAGTGAGGAACTTTCCTGTCGGGGCACATAGATGGGCTGATGTATCATTAAGAGCCAAGGAAAGACTGGGAACACTTCCTTGTGATAAAATGATTTGGATTGAGGAATCTAATTACTGAGAATTAATGATGGAACATCATCTGGCCCCCAGGAGGGATGATTCAAAAGACATCTTCTTGGGCAAGAATAGCCAAAAAAAAAAGACTCCCATGTTATGTGGTACAGAATTTTTGGAAGGGAACATGGTTGGGGGTTAGTGTCTTAGTCCATTTTGTGCTGCCGTAACAAAATACTGGAGGCCTGATACTTTATATTTATTTTTAAAGTTTATTTAGCTCACAGTTCTAGAGGTCCAAGATCATGGCACTGGCACTTGTTTAGCCTCTACTGAAGTCTTGTGTGGCATCAGAACATGGCCAAGAAATGGAAAAAGAAGTGGGCATATGTGCAAGGAATAAGCATGGATGAGAGAGAATAGGAGCAAAGAAGCCAACCCTCTTTGTACAACCTACTCTCACAAAAACTACCTCATTCTCACAAGCGCTGCATTAAGCTTTTCGTGAGGGTGGAGCACCCATAACCTAATTACCTCTTAAAGGCACTGCACTGCCAATTGCCAACACCATTACACTAGGAACCAAGCCTCAACATAAGACTTGGCAGAGACAAGCCACATGCAAATCACAGCAAGGGGGCAATCATACTGACTTCATTAAAAGTGGGATTAGCCTTTACTCATAAATTTAAATGTAATCAATCATTCTTTCTTTTCATTACATATTAATTGAAGTTTAGGGCTGGGGATTTAGCTCAGTGGCACCATGCCTGCCTTGCAAGTGCAAGGTCCTGAGTTCAATCTCCAGTACGGAAAAAAAAAGTAAAGTTTAGTAGACAAAAATTATGACTTCAGAGTGTACAATGCAGTATTTTTAGTAATGTATACACTGTGAAATGATTACCATAATTAAGATAATTAACATACCTATCACCTCAATTACCTTTTTCATGTGCTGAGAATGTTTAAAATGTAATGTCTTAGCAAATTTCAAGTATGTATACTATCCATTATTAGTGACCATAGTAGGCATCATGCTGTATACTAGGACTCCAGACCTTATCTTATCCTAAAACTATAAGTTTATTACCTTGAAACACTTCTCCATTTCCTCAACCCCAACCCTGGTAACCAACCACCCTTCTACTCTCTGCTCTATGGATAAGACTTTTCCAGATTCCTCATGAAAGTGAAATCATGTAGCATTTATCTTTCTGTGCCTGGCTCATTTCACTTAACATAATATCTTGAGTTACCTTCACTCACATTGTACAAGTGGCAGGATTTCTTTCTTTCTTTCTTGAAGCAGAGAGATATATACCACAATTTACCTATTCATCTGTTAATAGACACTGGGGTTGTTTTAGCTATTGTAAATAATGTAATGAACATGGGTACACAGATATCTCTTTTGGATACTGTTTACATTTCTGGGTTGATATATATCTAGAAGTGGGATTGGATCATTCCTTCTTAAAAATCTGAAAAGGAGTTGAACTGAGCTAAATTATTCTAATGCCTTATATTGGGTTTCTAGTTCTAATCTTAGTCCTTTATATTGTATTTCAAATTCTTCATAGCCTCTACCTCAGTGGAAACACAACAGGAGCTAGTTGTCACTCTGCTCTCTGTATTACCACTGCACGTTACCTCAGTGGAGTAGCTTCTAGACTGTGTATTAAGTACTCATTTCTTTGCTCTGCTCAGCACCTGTGTCTGGGTCCTCATTCAATCATTTTCTCTTTCCATGACTGTGAATAAGAAGTTAAAAATCTAGTGACCAGCAAATTTGATACATTTGATCCATCCAGTGCTTTTTCAAAAACACAAATGGTTGCAAACATTTTATACTGGTTCTAGAATTTCACTTCTCAGACCACACTGGCTGGGCATTTCTGCATGGAAACAATCCAATGCGGTTGATAAGTGGCTACCCCACCTACAGAAGTTCTAGCCTGTCAGTTACCTGTGTGCACGGGGTGCATCCTGTGAGTTCTCTAGAGCTCTTACCCAAGCCATAGCTCATTTAAATGACCTAACTGGCCCAGTAGCCATTAGTACATGTGACACTTGTTACAGGATCAAGCTATGGGGTATTTTGGTCTTTCACGTATTGGTGCTTGCCTCCATCACTCAGTGGAGTTTGAATACCAGGCCCATCATGTGGAATTTTAAAAAAGTGAGGACTTCCTTCAGCCTCAGTTTCCAATCCAAAAATACAGTGTTGCAAAGATTACATAAGTAATTTTCAAGTCAATTCCCATAGCTCACAGCATCTACTCTCCATAGTAACGTTAGGTTAGGAAGTTAATACTGGGAGAAATGGCCAGTGGCCACCAGGGCTCCTAAATCAGACAAGTCTCTAAGTACAGTAGAAAAGAAAGACAAATTTGGGTAACACAAAAATGGCCAGCAGGCCATATTAGGTCTGGCATGTTAATAAGTAGGGTAGGTAATGGTGGGCAGAACAACTGTGGGCTTTAAGAAGG